TAGTCACCCTAAGCAAGTATTGGATTCGATTGACTGAGAATAGCTGTGACAGGCTTTTGTACTCGGTCTGCTTTCTCTGAAGCTCTTCTTCGTCTATCAAATTCTCGGTCCACAAAGAAAGGCTCAGACCGAACAACCATGTGTCGGTACCAAGTAGAACAAATTTCTCCACATAGAAGAGTTTCTCCGTAGAAGACTTGGTCACGACCTCTAAATATGAACACTTGGCTGGTTCTCTTCATTCATCACTGTCGCATAAAGCTCCACTGTGAACTTCCAGGAGAAACCTGATTGTGGCATGGAGGCATTGTCCTCGAAGCGTACGAGGAGATCTCCCCCATAGAGTGGCCGTCTAGGTACCCATGACAACACTTTGCGATTCTTGTGTTCGAAGGTGTTGTTATATATGTCCTGCCGAATGACAACATCCCTCTCCCTTGGTGCAAATTTAGGGGCGACCTCGTTCAATGGAAGTTTTGAGGATTCATCCAGGACTGACCGGTGTATGGCTGTTGCTCAAATGTTTCCCACGGTTCCAGAGTGAGTAGTTCGGGTGGGCGGATTGGTTAAGAGTTGTCTGCGCTCGAGAGCAGCATCCAGGAGCCCAGAACTGTTGGATGGCGGCCATAGAGCTCAAAAATGTGGCCCATTCTCCGATCTATTCAGAATATTCGATGATATCGCTCTGTTTATATTTTCGTTTACTTTCGGTACTTTCGGAACGGTGCACTCTGTATCCTTTGCTTTCTACCGCATTTACGGCACAGTGTATATAACACTATGTATGACATCTACTATGTGAAGTGTATTACACTGTACCATAAAGAGATTCAATCTACCTTTCTGCATAGTTTTATAAATGGATAACAATGCTTAACGAAAAATCATCTCCATATTCTGTTTTATCATTCACAAACGAGTCTTTGTTTGCAAAACTGTATATTCTTTGTGGGGTGATTGATTGTTATTGTATGGAAGACATTTACCAATGTATGAGGAAAAAAACAAACGTATCCATGAACAATAATAATTACCAGGTTAGAACACGCTATTTCTGAACAAACAATATTTTCTTGTTTTACATCAAATATGTAGAGATTTGTTATAGTACCACAGGCATTAAATAATAACTTTGATTACTTCAAGGTGGAAGTTGGTGGAAAATCATATATGCCACGCTCTAAGATGCAATTAAAGCATGTGCTCAAGCTTGCTTCATAATTCGGTTTTACTTCATATGACTTTAGAGTTCTTGAAGAAGGTTTGTTGAATAAAACAAAAATCACATACAAGAACTCATGTGCTTGGAGATAGAAGTTTGCTAAAAATTTTCAAAGCTACAAAAATAACTTGGGTCTATTGCAATTGTCAATTCTTAGAAAGTATCATTGCAGTTTTTTATTCCTACTTTGTTAGCTGAACACTTTTCTTCCCATTAGTATGGAGTATTTATCTTACTAGTCATCAAATATCTTCTGGACTTTGATTAAATCTTGACAAGTTATGATCGAGATTAAACTGGAAATATTTTGTGTAATTATTTTAATCACCTATCTTCGATGAGTTTGTGATGCTGGACCATTGGAAAAAACCTTCAATACCCATGTTGTCGTATGAAACTTCTACTTTTCTCTCTGATCACTTTGATTATTTGTAGATAACGTTGCGAACCAAAATTCTTGTATCTCACACAATATTGTTATATTATTGAGCTTTGTTTGATATTACTTTATAAGCCTTTTTGACTATCGTCAAAATATGAGTTGTAGTTTTATCTCAAACACACGACATACACTTGTAACATATCAACTAACACATGGTTTCATCATCTTCTGATATAGTTAACTTAAGTGGATATTCAAGCCTTGTAATTGTTTTTATTTTTTGACTTGTTCATTGTTATTTATTACAAGTAGGTAGGGAAAAATAGATTGCATGTGGTCAAATTTTCATCTTTGGTAATGTTCAAGATGAATGACACATGTGATAGATTTTATCCAACACATATTTTACTTTTTTTCCTTTTCGTCACATCATGTAGATTTTGGCATAAAGTTGACTTCATCATGCCCACCGGTAACTGTTGGATATGAAGCGTTCACTACGGGTGCAGCTTATTCTTTGTATTGATCAAAATAGATATTAGAATCATGATGAGTCGAGGAGCTCGGAGTAGGGTGACTTTTTCCCAGTATTTTCGAAATTTCATCCTGGTGTACGGATGCAATTGAGCCCAATATATTCGTATATCTCCAGTGGAAGTAAACTATTGGACACCAACTTTCATGCTTAAGTTACAGGTTCAGAAAATTACCATGAAGTACTGAAGCAGTGAGGATTCTCTGCTTCAGGTAATCTGCTGGACACGAAGTTGGAAGTGGTATATTAGAAAATCATCGATTTCGTGTGAACCTTTATCATGCTTGCTAAATATAAGTTGGAACAAACATACAAATTCGTTTTCTTGATACATACATGAACTTACTCAATTACAAGTGATGCAGTTCTCCCATCTGAATCTCATCATGCCTTCCACATGGGCCTAAGTGTTTAACATATGTGGTTAGTGAGTTGGACTCTTCAATGTGCACCTCATTTAGAGTTCATATCACCCGATAATAGAAGTATGCTTCTCGGCTAGCTTGTGGTTCTAATAAACCTATCAAAACGATATCATGCATTTTAAAGGGAACACTTACTTGAGGGATAAGTGTTTTAGAATAGAAGAGTTGAAACTTCATTGACCCTCGCATTGACTTCTATAAGGGCTTGTCATTCTTTGGGTGTTAGATTTGCAAGTTTTACTTTCTGGTGCCCTCGTAGTATGTCAATGAGTTCACATTCTGACACGAAATTGAATGAATGGCAGCACGCAGCATGGCAGGAGTGGATGATATACCAGATATGATCCTGGAGAACATTCTAGCACGATCGACAGTGCTAGAAGTTATGACCCTGAGGTTGGTCTGCAAGAAATGGAAGAGGGTAATAGACAAACCCACGGGTAGGTGGATACTTCTCCCAGCTGATGATGATGATCATGATGAGTAGGCCTGATGATGAGCATCCCTAAGCCCATGCTCATCATGATCTCGGCTAAGGGCTAGCCAGCTAATTTTGTTTTTACCCGGTTATATATACCCGGTTGTATAGTTATATAGCCGGCTAGCTGTACGCTTACTCAAGAGTATATCACATTATACATTTTTGGTTACCACAATCCGAGTAGAGGAATAGAACATAATTAGCTAGCATCTCAAACACTTACTGTAAATGCATTTTGAGCTAAAGTCATTGTAATTCCATCATTTCTCTCCTGAAGTCTATCTTCGATGAATGGTATTGCAAGCATTCATTACTTATTTAATTCATTCACCTCACAGCTGCCTTTCAAGTTGAATGGAACTTAGAAGTTTAGATGGAGTACATCTCGATATGAGGTCAAGTAGTAGGAGTGGCCTAGCACAAGCAAACGATTCCTCGGCCAATCCTTGACACGACTTGGGTCGATCGAATATTCGAGCCCAAAATCATAAGCGGGGGTTATTATCAGGTTCAGTTCTGCAATGTTCAGCCTTTAACGTAAGTAGGCATTATTCCAGAGTCCAGAATTACAAGTAACAAGGTACGAATGCAGGAGGTCCATAATGCTTTGTGCATATAAAAGTTGCTAACCATGCGGATGTGCAACTTTCGAGGACAAATTGAAGTACAAGACCGCTAGATCGTGTGAACGAAATTGATTTAGTAAGCTGCGCCATGCAGCAGCTTTGATAACATAAGAAGAAGATTGTACCACAACCTTCGCTAACCTAGTGAACGAATAACAAATTTTCAACCATCTAGTAAGAACCCGAGGCTGCTCTTTCAACTCGACATTTGTTGGGCCAGCAAACGTTTATAGATACCCTTGTCTGATACAAGGGTATCAGACAAGGGTATCTAAACTGATTCTTGAGCAGAACACATGAATACATGCTGTCATCCTTGTCCCACAGCAATCAAGAGGCTTCATTAGCATATGAGTCCAGTTCTTAAATGATTTATAATTATGATGAAGCTGACAGAAATCTAGCCATTTTCAAGCAAGGTGTTCTGTATTTTTCCAAACACACTACGTTTTTGCATAATGTAAGTGATCATCTGCAGTACCAGTACTTAATTCACATATAGTGGCCACGTTCCCCGATACAGGGCAACCCCAGAGGTCGAATCACGACAGAACCCGTCGCATCTTGTATGCCAACGGAACAATAAAATTTGATAGAAATTAAGAAGTAGCCTAATGCTGCCCCGTCTCCCGTTTATCCACTAATTCGTGAACCCCTCCCGCAGAAAAGTAGAAAACTTGGCTAAGAAGGCCGTGTTGGGAGATTCTATTATACCAGCACGTATATTTGCTGATGAATTGTGTTTCATGAGAGAAAGAGGTGAGGAGGTAAAGGAACTGATCGCAATGACGTGAAAAGTCTGGTATGACGTATGCAGCATGGTGGCACATGTGGGGTACTGAATTTCGTTGGCGAATATGAGGAACATGACAGCAGTGAGCTTGAGGCGACTAGGTGATACGGTCTGGGTCTTCCTATTTTAATCTGAAATTCGACATCTTGGGAGATTGTTTCAGGAAACACCACGTATATAAAGTTTCTAAGGAGAGGCACACACAAGTTGAAGGATGACTACGCTCCCACGCTCCGAAGATCTCACCGATGAAACAAAGTATGAGTGAGAGTAGGAACTAATTTCATGACACCCATGAGAACCTTGCGAAATTGGGGTGTAGAGAATAGCTACATTGTCTGCCTCATCACCGAATGTTTCTAAATTTTACTATATGTTATATGAGATTGAGAAGGCAAGAAAGACTTGGTTGAGCCGGGGCCAGGATATTGCGATGGCAACTGAATCATCCTTAGTAGTACAATTCATAGAAGTGATCAGGGCTTATTGAAAGTTTATTGGAAAATGATAATGATGGCCTCTCTTAGAACTTGCACAGGCAGGAATAAACCTACAAACTACAAGCTGGACCTTGAACCTATAATATTCAAGCACCATCTCCAGGTTCCTTCAGGGGACGTGGCTACAAGGTCAAGTTCCCTTCAGAGTAAGCTCTCCCAATCACACGAGAAGAAAAGGACGGGGAATCGATCAGATGTGTGGTTAAGAGTGCGAAACGCTTGTCGAGGTCAAGAGACTGTGAGATACCACGAGCTTTGCATGCAGCGACATAACGCAGACTTCTGGATTCCAGTCAGTCACTGAACGTTATTGCCATGAACAAGTAACTCTTGGGCTACAATTTGTGCTCATTGCACAAACACTATATACAATAGCTAGAATCCTTTTTCACAAAATCTATAACCCCAGAATTATGGAGCAAACATCCCCCTGGCTGATTTAGCATCCTTCTTCGCAAGCGCTGTGGGTATGTGAAATTTTCACCTACGTAAGCCTGTTCGAGCTCGCTGACAGAGTGAAATGTCATCATGAAGATGCCAGGAAAGTTGACCTGTAAACTGCGATCATGACTGAGTTTCTGGAAGACATCCTGCTGATTTACAACGAGCTAGCAAATCGATCAGCGGTGTTCAGGAGCCTTGGAAGCATGAACGAACATTCAGAAACTGGAAAGGTGTAGTGTGTTGCTGAGCCCTGAAATATCCCCATGGTGTGTCGAACAGAGAAGCGATCAGATGCGACTCTATAGCTGAGACTGAGTGACTGACTGCTTGAATTGACAGAGGGGAAGGTTGCAAGGAAGGCTCAATTGCATCCGAGTGTATCACCCAAGACCCAGGCCCCCGAGGTTGCCGATGACTCCAGCCAAGCCTCCCAATTTATTCTGTGCGGCAAGAAACGCAGCGATGTCCACATTTCCTCCACCGGCTGCCCCTCCAAGAATCGAGGAGTAATCTATTCCGCTTGCCCCTCCTCCTGCTGCTGCAGCATTAAGGAAAGCTGAATAGTCTGGAGTACTTCCGGCATTGTTCAGTAGAGAAGCAAAATCAATAGCCCCTCCTCCTCCTCCTCCTACTCCAGTGTTACCTAGCATTGCAGAGAAATCCACACCTTGCTGTCGATTTCTTTGCAAAATTTGTTGCATAATAGCCAAGCTACTTCGCTCCTTCTGTATCCGAATTGCACTGAGCATGGCCAATGTTTGCTGTGCGCTGTTGTTCTGAGCAGCAGTCATGGCTGCAAGGTAATCGGCAGCTGATGGAGGATAACCCGGTGCACCTCCGGGCATGTAATTGTGCACTCCAGACTGCGGTTGAGAAGATGCAGGCTGCTGCTGCTACTGTTGTTGTTGTCCCGGAATACCTTGAAATGCAGAATTAGAACCTGGAACTTGGGGTGCTGTTGCGGCTGCAGGTTGAGGGTATCTCTGCTGATAAGTGGAGTTGGTATTCTGAGCCGCAGGAGTGTAGTGTGATTTAGGTGGAGATCTAGAGGAATAATTGAGATCTGTTTGTTGTTGTGCTGGAGGAACAGGTTGAGGAGCAGCAGGAGTTAACTTGGCAGTCGATGCTGGTTGCTGTTCGGGATCGGCGAAAGTAACCTTCATAATCGACTTTGGTGCAGCAACTGGAGCAGAAGGTGTGAACTTCAGGCTGGTTCCCTGTTGTGCTGCTGGAGCAGCTGCAGAATTGAATTTCAGACCAGTCTGTTGCTGTTGTGGCTGGGCAGGTGGTGGTGACGGTGGTGAGACTGGTCTGGGTGACGAGGGTGGAGCTCGAGAAGTCTTCAGTCCAGCCGTGTACAAAGGTGGTGGCGGCGCCTTAATAATGAGCATAGGAACTGAAATCATGAGCATCGTTTGGAGGAAGGGCAGGAATGGGTAAGAAACGTACGAAGGTGTTATCATCGTATATTTCAAAAAGGGAAGAGTGCGGTAAGCCCAAGCTGGAACAATGTCGCAGTTTCAGTGTGCCATATTCTTCAGGATATCGAAAGTCATCCAGTAAATGTAGATAATGCTTGCATGCACCTCCTGTGAAGATGGTGTCCAAAAGGGCTATACCCCTGATACCAGCATAGAGGACAACCTCCAAGAATGTACTCCGGCTGCCCAAAAAAGAACACCAATCAGTAGGTCTACTGTCACAGGTGAGTAACCTCTCATTTCGTCTAAAGTATGCTATCTAAAATTACTCCGTCGTCCTACATCAAGTTTCTGATGTCCTAATGTAACAAACCTTTAGAATCAGATTAATCCTACCTCGAACTTCTGCCTTATATAGTAAATTGTACGGGTTTTTCCAATTGTACTTCTCTAACTTTCTTGATTTTGGATAGAGCCTACTCTTTCTCTTGGATTGGAGCTCCCTACTTATTATCAAAGTTCCTGATTGATTCCTGACATGATCCTGATTTTCTACATTTCAAACTTGAATATACATACGATACGACATATGGGACGGAGACTTGAGGTATGAACAATTCAAAGAGGACGAAGGCAGTACATGTGTGGAATATAGACTAGTAAATTATATGTGAAGCATCTAGTCTGGATTCATAGGCCAAACGATTCTACACTGTGGACACCACTGTAAGGTAACCTGATCATCAAGTGTCCTCAGTAGACAAGTAAGAAACTGCTAAAGTAAACGGTAAGCACTTTCAGGATTCCGACTGAGTATATGCGGCTGTTCATGGCTTCAGATTCTTGTCACTGGTCTAAGCATGAAAATACAGCTTACGGATATACTACTAGAACTGGCCAAAATCGCCAAACTGGCGGAGAGTGCAATAAGTTACCACGTACCAGTGGCAGGTTCTGTGTACACAGACAGGTAATGGAGGTGATGATAGTTATTGGAGAGAAAGTCCGTGTGCAGAAATCGATGGAGCCAGTAGTACACAAACTCTGTAGGACCCGCATGAATGAAAAAAATAGTCACGAGACCTTTGGTATTCCATAGAGGCAGAAAACGAATTCCCGGCATCCAAACATGTACAGCCGTCGCCAGCAGGACTTCGATTATCATATGATCATCCCTGATATACTCCAAAGATTTCCAAGATGTTCCTAGTCAGGTCGGGATGGGAGAGGAACGAAAGACGCAGTTTGCATTACAGTACATCTGAAACTCCCAGCAGTTGCTTCGAAAGACTCTGTACATTTATGAGAACTTATATAAAATACTTTGGAAACTTCACATTCAAGTTGAGCGAGAAAACTTACGAATGGAACTCTCAGTCGACTTGCTCAAATGTGACACCACACTCGTGTATTTAATACTTTTTGACAATACCGTGCATCCGAGAGAAAGTCATCCACAGCTGTGCAAGCAGCAGGCGAAGGAAAGTCAACAAGAGCATGTGCGAGCACCAATTGTCGACATCATTTCCCGCGAAATAGTTGGCGTGGATGACTTTAATAGAAATGGTACTAATACAACACACTGCGTTGTCAACGACAGAAAGAAAAACAGACGGATGGTCAATCATAGACTGCACTACATAAACAGGACTCGATAGCATAATCTGGAAGGCAGCAAGGAAAGATCAAACAGAGCTTTGTCTGAATTGCATGCCACTTGAGCCGATTTGAAAACATCTTCATCCTCGAGCCAGGATTAGTGTACTTGTTTCCAGATAGAGATCGAACCTTATATCCCCGAAGGATATGCCAAGGACTGTCAGCCAGATACGGTCTTTTAGCAGCCATACTCATCTGTTACTCGAAATGCCAACAGCCTTAGAGTAGGAAAAGCTACCAGAGTGAAGTATGTCCTTCAGTTTCTTCAGCTTACGCAGCAGTACTTTGGGTGTCTCAGGTGCTGGGTGTATGTTCCTGTAAACATGACGAGATACACGATATTGGCATGTCGATACACACAGACGGTGCATTGGTGCATATCGATTCAAATCTAAAGATCTACCCACGAGTCGCAACTCCTGAGCAACAAGATTGGGTTTAGAAATAAAACTCAACAAACGTAGCATGTTTCGAATTCCAAAGTGGGTCCAGCAAGTTTCATTCGGTACGAATCTGCTTGTTTTTCTATATGGGGCAGACGTAGAGTTTTTTCGAGACGGTCTCTCATTTCCAGCAGGCATCAACTTACTACAATCTTGCGCCGTGCTTCTTCAGAACATAGAACATCTCTATAACCTGTATCTCAAGTTTGATGTCACAAGGCATCTACGCGTTTATACGCTTCATTGGTATGATCTGCCACAACTTTGTGAAAAGCTCCAAAAACTTGTATGGCCTGTAAAAAACGAACGAATGAAAAATTCTTCCGTGAGTGGAACTTAGCGACTCTTTCAAGATGTGACTTTATCCAGAATGTGGATACTATTTTATTAGATCTTCCAAAATCGACATTAATCTTCAAACACAGCTGGATATGTCATGCGATTTGTAAAGTAATCTCTGCATAAGAGCACCTTGACTTGATGCAGATGTATAGAGGTATTACATCTACTGCAGCGAGAATCACTACGACTGTGTATTACGTCTTTATCAGTATCCAATCCCTCTCGTATCATTCAGGTACGGAGGTCTCCACTCAGTGTCCATCACAGAGACTGATGAAGATGATGGTCACTAATGCATCCATCCCATAGTAGTCAATTGCGTTCTCGGATCCAGTAGACATTCACGACCTGTTGTATTCAACAAATGGAATTTAGAGTGTCTAAAAATTCCCGTGAAATGTCTAATGAAAACAGAAATTAGAACGTCAAAAAGTTGAGGTCTGGGACTCATTACCACAGTATCCGAGGCCAGCCTCTTGTGGGCGAAGTAACCGAACCTGCTCTGTAGATTAAAGATCAATCTGAAGGTGCCTGCAAAGTAGAACTAATTGTCAGACGTAATGCATGTCTGAAGAGCACCTGTCGACGATATGTGGCACGCACTGTCCAGTGTTAGTATGCCATCGCAACCCATAGTCCTGAAGTAAGAAAGTGATACGATGCGAGGGCACGTATCAAAGTGATGTCTTCAATCTTAGCTCGACTGCACCTGAGAGAGACTTCCAGCTCAGATGCGACGGCAGGGACGAATTGTTTAGTCGATGTAAGTACCTCCAATTCAGCGAGTCAGGCTTAGATAGTTTGTACACAGTGCAATTACGGTGGCATATGCGTGGTCGCTGAGGTTGCAGAACCTCAGCGGGATTCTATGCTTGGAGTTTCTCGTTCAGAGTTTTCTGATTTTGGGAGATACTATCCACAGAGAATAGCGCTTGATTCGTGATTTTTCCTCGAGATTCGAACAAGTGCAGGGTAGGCAGCAATCGAAGTCCGCCTCTCTGTTGTATTCCTGGGAAATGAATCCTGGGATCCAGCTAGGATGTTTGTCCAGCACAACTTTTATGAGAAAACGTACTGCATGTACGAACATAGGCAAGGATACCCAAGGATAGACGCTATAGAAGCTAGCGATGTCTTGGGGCCTTAAGCCTTGCGATCATGTCTCAGAATCACCTTAGCTCCGTTATATAGGATCTGCTGTGGCCTGGCGGCCAAGGAGACTCGTGTATCTTCGCGTTTCCTGCAAGGTAGTTTGTGCCTTCAGTGCTTGGACCCCACCTTCCCACCTTCCCAAATTCTGAATAGCAAGAGCTACTTAATGAACCACTTTGTCTCTCTGGACAACTCTCTGGACAACTCTGCCCTTGTCTCGTGCAGTCGTGCTACTATCGTGCTTTTGGTTTCTAAAAAGGCGATGTAGCCTGTGCACGGTTTTGTAGACACCATGCTCCTCTCGAGAATTTTCTCGTGGAGCAGCAATTAATGCAGACGAAAAGTAACGTATCCTTGACGTACTCAGTCTGAGAGTCCAAGCGCCCAAAGTACCCAAATAATTACATGTCTCAACCCGATTGCACGAAAATGTCAAACCAGACGTACAAGAGTCCTATGTTGCATAATGTCCAAGTCTATGTAAATTCGTAAACCTCTACGAGTTCTCGCAAAAAAAACACCATGTGAACATTAAGAGCCCATCATTGTCACTCGTATAGTTGTCAAATCACAATACATATATAGAAGTGTACTGTAATAAATATGTGTGTGGATATTGTTACCGATCCAGTCTAAAAACATCCAAGGATAAAGGATAAATAGTTGAACTTTATTGTTCGACTAAAGTCATCAAACTAGATAAATTGTTCATTTCTCCAATCTATCATCTTATTTGCTATTGAAAGCTTGTTGCGTTAATTTTAGAGATAATTCTATATCTCTAACGCATTGCTTAAGTTATTTAAGATAGTGTTTTCAACATTTTTAAATAAACTCAAAACGTTTATGTTGTTAATTAGAAACTATCTAAATAATTTTGAAATCAAATATACTCTAACTTTCACTTCTTGATAATAATAATAAAATGTGAAATCCAAATCAATTATCTCTAGAATAATGATTCCATGTATTGGTAATGGAAACATCTTCTTATCATATTTATATCTATTGGTAATCAATTTTATACCAAGTATTATTAAAAGTTGAAATAATCGACATGTAAATGATGATAATAATTCCAAAAAGAAGTGTTATATATAAGCATAAATATATGGTCAAATACATTTCATTCAAAATAAACTTCAGGTATTTTACTAACTATTACTTTCCAGGGCCACAGTAAAAAGAGAAGTTATTCTCTTATCAATTTTGTGAGCAATAGGTTTTCACAACTGCGTATTGGCCCCAAATGAACTTCTAGCTGGAACAGCTGAACGAAGTCGGAATTGTTATAGTAAGGAACAACGGGTCTGAAGATACAACGAAGAGAACAAATGCGAGTTTAGTTCTAATTATTACACTCTAAACATCAGTCCAAAGAGAAAGACGATGAAGAGAGCTGTCTGCTCTATCGATGTAGTGTAGACCTACTCTTCGCTCTCTTTATGAGTTAACTTCTTCACTCGATCATGCATCATTTGTTAACACGTCGATGTTGCTATGGGTATCTCTTGGATGTTTGCAGCACATTCCTCTCGGTGCAAACACATCAAAGCTCGGAATTTGAGTCCTAGTACCTTGTGCATATTTCCCTGCTTCTCTTTAAAGTCTCGTGGATCAAATTACCTCCATCAAATTCTCCAAATGTTGTATCTCCTCTTCGTCAAAAGGTGTTAAGCTAGAGCCTCTAATCGAGCAAGCGCCTTCTCATTCAACTGATTAAGCCTCCTCTTCAGATCTCGCGCCGTCTATGAAAGCCTCAGGTTCTTCTTTTCCACCATTCTACCATTGACTCTTCTGATCTTACAGATTATCTCACTCCAAGCTTCTTGTTCCAACTCGCCATCCTGTTCAGTTGATTGTTCCACGCTTTTGATTGACTGCAGAGTCACATGTGTTTGCTCCTTCCTCCCTGTAGCAATTTGGTGCACTGTCTGAGCCAAGTCCCTTTGATCATCTAAATTCATCAACACGGCCAAAACCACCGTCCTAAATTGGAAACTGCAAAGCAGAGGCGAGAGGCTCCGTGATCTCTTTACTCGCCTTCACATTTGGACATTGCCCAGCTGTGTCAATGGCATCCTGCCTCTAGCTATCCTCTATCATAGCAACTATCAAACTCAACATCAAAAACTGCCTTTCAATGAGTCCAATTCCAGCTCAACCCGTTAACCTCTGGGTGTCGCAACGACACTCCTGGTCCTCATGGTAGTTCTGGTGAACAATGGGCTCCGACTGACTTGCCTCGACATTCCGATGTTCAAAACTCGTCAGTAACCCTTTGGGCCATTTTTCCCCGCACTACATGTGATTACTTTAAGTCACTTACATTCGTCAACATTGACTCTTCTAATTCAATTGCTCTTGGTTTGTGTCTGAACTGTTCACTGTCAGTCACTGTGACTTACTTGTTCAGTGACTAACTGGAATACAGAAGTCTGCATTATGTCGCTGCATGCAAAGCTCGGTGGTATCTCAGTCTCTTGACCTCGAATTTGGTCAAGGATTGGCCGAGGAATCGTTTGCTTCTGATCTCTCTTTCATCTTTCAAACCCGAGGATGAGGAGGAGTTTTGTAAACGGGGATCAGATAAAGTAAGTCACAGTTCCAGTCAGTCACTGAACTGTCTGTTATTGCCATGAACAAGTAACTCCTGGGCTACAAATTGTGCTCATTGCACAAACACTATATACAATAGCCAGAATCCTCTTTAACAAAATCTATAACCCCAGAATTATGGAGCAAACAGCCCCCTGGCTGATTTAGCATCCTTCTTCGCAAGCGCTGTGGGTATGTGAAATTTTCACCTACGTGAGCCTGTTTGAGCACGCTGACAGAGTGACATGTCATCATGAAGATGCCAGGAAAGTTGACCTGTCAACTGCGATCATGACTTAGCTTCTGGAAGACATCCTGCTGATTTACAGCGAGCTATCAATTTGATCAGCGGTGTTCAGGAGCCTTGAAAGCATGAACGAACATTCAGAAACTGGAAAGGTGTCGTGTGTTGCTGAGCCCTGAAGTATCCCCATGTTGTCCAGTTTGTGTCGAACAGAGAGGCGATCAGATGCGACTCTATAGCTGAGACTGAGTGACTGACTGCTTGAATTGACAGAGGGGAAGGTTGCAAGGAAGGCTCAATTGCATCCGAGTGTATCACCCAAGACCCAGCCCCCCCGAGGTTGCCGATGACTCCAGCCAAGCCTCCCAATTTATTCTGTGCGGCAAGAAACGCAGCGATGTCCACATTTCCTCCACCGGCTGCCCCTCCAAGAATCGAGGAGTAATCTATTCCGCTTGCCCCTCCTCCTGCTGCTGCAGCATTAAGGAAAGCTGAATAGTCTGGAGTACTTCCGGCATTGTTCAGTAGAGAAGCAAAATCAATAGCCCCTCCTCCTCCTACTCCAGTGTTACCTAGCATTGCAGAGAAATCCACACCTTGCTGTTGATTTCTTTGCAAAATTTGTTGCATAATAGCCAAGCTACTTCGCTCCTTCTGTATCCGAATTGCATTGAGCATGGCCAGTGTTTGCTGTGCGCTGTTATGCTGCAAGGTAATCGGCAGATGATGGAGGATAACCCGGTGCAGCTCCGGGCATGTAATTGTGCACTCTAGACTGCGGTTCAGAAGATGCAGGCTGCTGTTGTTGTTGTCCCGGTTAGAACAGAATTAGAACCTGGAACTTGGGATGCTGTTGCGGCTGCAGGTTGAGGGTATCTCTGCTGATAAGTGGAGTTGGTATTCTGAGCCGCAGGAGTGTATTGTGATTTAGGTGGAGACCTAGAGGAATAATTGAGATCTGCTCGTTGTTGTGCTGGAGGAACAGGTTGAGGAGTAGCAGGAGAGAACTTGGCAGTCGATGCTGGTTGCTGTTCGGGTTCGACTGGAGCAGAAGGTGTGAACTTCAGGCTGGTTCCCTGTTGTGCTGCTGGTGCAGGAGCCGGAGCAGCTGCAGAATTTCAGACCAGTCTGTTGATGTTGTGGCTGGGCAGGTGGTGGTGACGGTGGTGAGACTGGTCTCGGTGATGGGGGTGGAGCTCGAGAAGTCTTCAGTCCAGCCGTGTACAAAGGTGGTTACGGAGCCTTAATCTCAACAGCTGAACTGCTGGTTATTTTCGGAGAAGGTGACAGACCAGGAGCAACAGAGCCTATCCCGTCTAGGCACTTCTAGGCACATACCCTCGAGAGCCCACTCCGACTCCTCCACTAGATTCAAGGTTGGTCGTCGAATTGGCTCCTGGAGCAGGAACCGGGTCGCTTTTCGCAGTGCTCTCAGCAGCAACTTGAGCAGCAGCGGCAGCAGCGGCAGCAGCAGGAGGTGGAGGAGATGGAGGAGATGGAGGTGACAGTGGCTGTTTTAGCAGCAGATGTCTTGTTTGCAGCTTGAGCCGCTGACTTCTGTGCCATGACCGCGAATTAGTTGGGGCCGGGTCCTTTGTCAGCCTGGCGAGGAGGTTCGATCCTCAAGAAGAAACGCTTCTTATCCTCCAGCACATGGTAGTAGCAAATGAGGCAAAGGGTCTTGTTCGGATCCCTTCGACGTTTGAAAGCCGGGCCTTTGATGGGAGTGGCACTGCAGTGAACACAGCAGATGATGTTCAGGTGGTACACAGCGCTGGCATCAGGCTTCTCCCTGGAACAGAAGTCCCCGGATCGGATCGAGTCGCTCTGCAGCTTGTCATCGTGGCAGAAAGCGCACAGATCGTAGTCGGGATTCTTGATGGAGGTGAAGGTGGGACCGCAAATCGGAGACACGAGGCACTCAATTGTCGAAGTGCTAAACTTTGTGGTATTTCTTGCAAACCGAGTTAATGAAGAGCTCTTCGTAGACTTCGTAATCTGACTCCGGCTGCGCTCTCCTGTTGGACGGATTGGTAGCTCTGGAGAAGCAAGCTCCACACAGGTCACAGTCCTCTTGAGTTTTGTGGCGGTAGCGCTTGCCTTTGATGGGAGCTATGCCACAGTCGGCGCACTGGATGAAGTGCACCTGGTAAGGCCACGTCGACTTGCCCCTCTCGATCTTCATGTACT